AACTGAAGGTACTCCTTACAAGTTCCAATGTTAGTGAAGTAGCAACTATTCATCAACTAGTTGACCAACTAGTTAGTTTGAGGGTCAAATTGACCATATCACTATGTTGATCAAAAAATTAAAAAATGACTCTCACTAACTAGGATAACCAAGCATCAACTAGGTCAACTAATCAATCAACAAGTAGTCAACCTAGTCAAGCACAAAAACATTAAAGCTTTATCATGAGACTAGAAAGCCATTGAAATGTTTTACAGTATTAGTGGTTGAATGGAACTCCAACACAAAATATCCAATGAATTCCTTATAGTCCTAAAACATCTTAACTAAGGGTGGGCAAACTTGTGGGTGAGTGCAAGACAATACACTAGTCTGATCCAACTGCAATTCACCAATTTTTTTCCGAACAGGTAAAGAAATGTTACTAACCAAAAAATGATTGCAAAAAGTTAGCCTGTAATCATTTATTCAGTGTTATGGCCTATACGTAATCCTGTTAGCAGGATATTAACAACATATTAAGCAAAGAATAAAAAGATGCTTTCAAAAAGAAATGAATTGTAAGCCACCAATCTGTATTCCTTGTGAGCAAACAACCAAGAACGCAACCATAGGCAACATATTCCACACTATCTTCCCTTTTCTACTCAACCCACTTAGCTTCCAGCTAAACAGAAACTCTTACATGGAAAATGGAAGACATCCAACCCACCCAGAAGTACCCATCACAGTACTCCACAGCCTACAAGTGAATGGACAATGCAAAAACAGATGGTTAGTTGTTTCTGTCTCCCTATAGGCTATAGCACAGCACACACTGCTCACAATCCAGCAGCACACCCCTTTTTAGAAATTAATCAAAAGTCAAACATTTCTCCAAAAGTAGCTATGCAAACAAGAAATTTAACTTTCAATCAAAGGAGCAGCAGATTTCCATATGGTGCATGAAGAAGACTCTTCCTAAACATGCTGGATCAACTTGTTCAAAAAAAAAAGATTTCACGGAGAACTATCCAATGCTCTCCCAACTCCATGTTCTATAATGAAGCTGCCCCACAATTTCATCTACCTCCTATTCACTTAAGTTACTTCTACAGTTGGATGCCAGGAAACAGTCATTGGAGATTTCACAATAGTATTTTAGCAGAGCAGCCCTATTCTATTGCCTTCCCCCACTTTATATGTAATTCCTTTTACAAACTCATCCCAAACCTGTTCAATCCCTTTTTTTATGAGTAATGTAATAAGGCCCTTGAAGAACACAATGTTAAACAGATCCAGAGCACAATGTACAGGGAAAGATAATATGGGACACAATCAATCAGTCATGTCTTCTCTTTTCCTTGTCTCTTTTGTGTTTCCTCGTCTTCCGAATCACGTGAATGCCATTTCCCTTACCCATGCATGTCATGTTTTCTCTCTTTCTTCTCTTCACATCTCCTTTCCTTTGGACTTCGTTCATCCCCTGAAGAAGATGTTGCAGCTTCAGTGTTTATTGGTGGTGGACTGGGCTCGATTGTATTAACCATCTCAGATGAAACCTCCTTTGGCCTAGCTGGAAGAGAACTTGATTCTTCCCAAAGAGGGGGTGCTCTATAATAGCCAAGACCTTGAACCCTTGCTGCCTCAGCATGGCCCTCGCCCAAATCCTCTGGCTATGGATCCTCTGTTTACTAGCTCTGCAAAATTCATGTTTATCCAATCGATTGCCTTGGGGGGTCGACTAGAACGCTTAGGAGTTAAGCCAAGAGCCTCCCGCATTGCATGTTCCTCTTTTTTGTTCTTTTGTATCTTTGCTTTGGCCGCTTCCATATCCTAATTTTTAGGTTTCCAACTCCTAGCATACCAGTGTAGGTCTTTCACATTCTGCCATCTTCCAACCAGTGCCATAATACTGTGACCAAAGATAGTTTTTTCGACGTTTATCAACCTACACATCTTCCCACCTAAACTCATCTTGGCCACCGCGAACGCCCCCTCTTCAAGGATGATACATTTTGGCCTTTCTCCTTCGGAACTATCACAAATTCACCACCATGAAATCAAAGAATTCGAAGAAACTTGTTCAATCCCTATCCAAACAAATGAACTAAGGTCGATTATTATTTCCAACAACCCAAGCAATTTCTCTACTGCTATATTTGTCCCCACACCCTTGCTCCAAAGGCTGTCCTTCTCCACACTATACCTCCATAACCACTTCCCAAAAGGTGTTTCTTAAATTTTTTCATCTTAATGCCCAACCTCATGTTCAATCCCTTTCCAAACTGATGTACTATAAGGTTCATTATTGTTTCCAACCTCCCAACCCATTTCTCTCTTGCCATATTTAGCCCCAACTACCTTGCTCCAGAGGTTGTCGTTCTCCACACTTTTCCTCCATAACCACTTCCCAAAAAGTGCCTTGTTAAATTTTTCCATCCTCCTGCCATTAGAGGACTGCATACCCTATCCCAACGACCAAATGAAATTTGAATTCATCCTTCCAAGTTCCACACTCTCCACAAATACTCCCACATCTTGATTTACGCATTTCTTGCAACACCCACAGGAATAAATGATCACTATTGATAGCATAAAACACTCAAAAGCAATGGCAATATTAGATCAATGAAAACCAATGAGTTATGTACATCAATCCACCTTTAAGATTTTTCCCAAAGCTACCATGCCAGTTCTACTCTTTATTTTCTTTCTAGAGTTCCTCCAATCTCTTCTTATTACTACTAGAAGTCATCCCTTCCACCACACTAACCTTCGGTCATAGACCCTACATGAAGGAGAGTAACCTATCTCAAGCCAAATATCATCTAATATCATAAGAGCAATGTCAAAACTCCAGCTACTTTGTGACAAACTGATGAAATACTTAGAGAATGGGGATCCATCATTGCTGATAGATGACCTATTACCAGTCACATTTCAATCATAACTACCCACCACTAGAGATATTCCTCTGGCTATTGCAAAACCCACTCCAACTGTTCAAACCCCGTACTAACTTAACAAGCATCACTCCTTCAGATTGGGCACCATTCATCTACTTCAATCTGTTGAAGACACTTCCAAATTTTTCTAGTTAACTTCTCTCTTATATCCATTAACACCACCTCCCAGCTTCCTTCGAAGTGCTCACTCTGAATCTTGCTAACCCCCTTCAACAAATTGACCACCAACACCACTAATACCCATTGTCAGAGGCTCATCAATCTCAATGACACAATCCTTATGTCACAATTCACCACCAATGAACAACTCCTTACTCACATCATTAGATTCGGTCTAAACATTGCCATTCCCAAATGACAACTTGCCAACAAATTTCCAAACCATCACCAACCAAGTACAAAAGCACACTAATAACCTCTATCTCATTAGCCATTAAGCGAACCTCAAGACTTCTCTCAACCCTTCAGATAAGGCGAAAGGTTCAAGGATACCAAGTAATAAACCAACCCCATTCATCTGGCATACCAAAATGCCTACTTTGCTCTTTCCCCAAACACTTTTAAACCCCTTTCTGAGGGATTTAATTCTATCAATTCGAGCTAAGCATACGACCAACCCTATCAAACCCCAAATTAGTCTTGTACTAGTTGAACTTGTGAACCTCAAGACTTATGTTGTACCTCCCCCATCAGCCCCATCATTAAAATCGTTCCTCTCCACGCATCTTTTCATGAAAGCACTGGAAGCACACGAAGGATTCACTTGAGCCTCAATTATGGCTTTATGGTGTACTCATTGGCAACTAAAACTATGAAAGCCTTTTCTTATGCAATCTACCATACTGATTTTCAAATTCCCTATGCCACCTACAACCATTTCATTGTTTTTTGACTTCCACTCATTCATTTAAACTATGCAAAATGTCACTTTTGACCCTATCATCTTACAGCTTCATCTTTTTCCTACCTCAACCATGAACCAACTGAGCACTGCAGCTAGATCATTCCGGCAGTCATTCAAAATATCATACATCATACAATGGTAACCAACATTGTTCATCGATGGTAACCAACAATCAACATAAAATTATGGGTTACAGGACTGTGCCACTTCCCTACGAAGAACAGAACTTGCGTTTTCCTTATTCTGCAAGCAGAACAAGAATAAGCCCCCACCCAATACATCTTACATCAACCGAATATCCAAGATGTCATTCCTGCAAAATCCTTACAGAAACAACCTCTTCATCCAGAGTTGCCCCTACATATCATCTGCCTATACATCTTTCCAACAACTCTAAACTCTCCCACAAGCAGCCAACTTTCTTCACTTCCACAACACAAAAGCCATCACCTATGATGGTTTTTATCTCTGGCAAGACATTTTTCTCACCTTCTCCACCAATCCATATTGAAGTGCAAGGTCCTCCTTTGCTAGAGCTGATCAACCTTTGACCCCAACTATTTGGCCTGATTCCTGTCACATTGCCAAAGGCAGGTCATTCTTGGAGGCACCACCTTAAGTTCATTAGTCCACAAAAGTGATCAAAAGGACCTAGAACAAAGATTCAGTATAATAATAGGTAGTCATAGGTTTCCCTTTCTTCATTGGAAAATACACAAACTGTTTAAGGAAAAATTGCTCCTCTCCTTACATAGCCATCTCCAGTGAGGCACTAGCCCAAAGCAGCAGACCACACTATCTCTTTTTTTTTTTTTGAACGGCAATCTTTCCATCATCTCTTTCTAGACAGAGAGAGCATCTACTAAGTTTTGCAGCAAATTGGTTAGATTTTCCAATACATATCATCTAAACAAAGAAAATCAAGTCATTTCACTCCCACTTTCACCTCATACTGATCAGCCACCTTGATTGGATAGTGTAACCAATTTATTCATTAAAAAAGCATGTTAATTACCAAGAGCATGCATCAAGCCTCAGGCAAGTCAAGTAACAGTAACATCTTATTCTCTAAGATTTATCAAAGTAGACTACAAAGGCCCTAGGTAGCAACCTAATGATCAGCAAAAGTAGAAGCAGAAATTAGTTACCTGGGCAGGAAATTTGCCTCCAAACGCAGCTTTCTCCAAGTTCAATTTCCCATTGCATGTTGCCTTGTATACACCATAAAGAAGCTTCAGGTCAGTATCATATAGGAAAAGCTTTGTACCTGTCTTGATTTTCTCTACAATATCCATTTGTCCTGCAGGAAGGCCAAAAACACGATAACGGTAGCATTCCGGTTTTGTTTTTCCATTGCACATAAAAATGAAACCATGAAAATCCCTTTGCTTTTTTTCATTGCTAACAGCATCACTGTCATTAGCATTATAAGTAGGGGCAGCAGCAGATGCAGGGGGAGGTGCAGCAACAGCAGCAGATGCAGGTGTAGGGGCAGGGACCTCAGCAAAAGCAGAAGTAGACGCATGAGAGGGATCAATGATAGATGAGGGATCGACATTAGCCTTCAAGGCCTTCTTCATTCGCCTTCTTCGCAATCTTTTCTCCAATTGTTTTTGCCTCTTCTTAGTAACTGGCTTGATCGTAGGGGGTTCCTTGTTCTTGCGTCTCCCCTTTGCCATGGTCAAGACTGTGCTGATAATATAAACACACCATCAAAAACTTAAAAGTGAAAGCCCATTCTAAAAGGAACCATCAAGCAAACTAGATGTGATAGTTAATTCTAAATAGACAGAGAACACTTTCTTTTAAATGGGGACAAAGTACCTTATAAATGTTTTTTATAATAATTATATTATTTGATTGTAATATTGTTTTTATATGTTTGATTGTAATATTGTTTTTATATGTTTGAAAGGCTTGAAGAGAAAATGTCACATCACATATCACATAAAATATCTCAATATTTTATGTCACAAGAGAAGGTCACAGTGCTGTTACACACACTGGATGAACACAATGAATAAGCACGGAATTAGTGTGTGATATCAGTCACACAAGTGTGTTTAAGTCATTGATCCATTGCATGGTTGGCTGGGAGACACAATCGCAGGACAGATGTCACACACCGATCATGTGCTTATTCTCAGTGTGCTCGCTGGGTGTGCCTACCAGATTGAAATTCAAGACAATCACTCAATCAGGCCTTCAAAATATATCATCATCACAAAAGTCTTTCCACGGAAAAGAATATCAACCTTTAACTGAAAAGAGTAGGGGAAGAAGTGAAGTGAAACATGAAGAAAAGCTTGAAATATCTTATGTACCACAGTGAAGGTCATTTCCTTATTTTTCACAACTAAAATGAGCAAATTGAGTGATTCCCCCATGATCTTTTTATGAATCCCCCATGATTACATTATATGATACTCCATAATTTTCCTAACTACTAAAACACGCCAGAACAATAAGCTCCTTCACCACAGAAAATGTTCTAAACGACAATAGTTCAGGAAAAATTATCAAAGGAAAACAATCTAAGCACGATGCCACAACCATATATGACTAGGTTAAATCAAGTAAACATTATGAACTTCATTGCAGACCCTAATTCTAACCTTCAAATTGGTCTCTGTGAATTAAAATGCCTACCGTATAGAAATAGTAGATATCTGCTCCTGTAGAACAAAGAAAGGGAAATACAAACCCTAACTTTACTAACGTAACCATAACCTTTATTTTCATCAGTAACCTAATGTTTTTGTTAATTACGAACCTTTCCCTGCTTGGATTAATCCCTTCAATATGCAAATAAAGTAACAAAAACACTAACTTCAATTCCCAAGAACCCTAATGGCTTGCAGTCGCTTCTCAAAGAACAATATAAACTTAAAAGTATTGATATTCAGTAATCAGATCCAGGAAAAATTAGCAAACAGTAGAGCATAAGAACAAATTTTTCAAGGAAAAAAAAAACATAAAATTTCCCAAAAGGGTAGACCAATCATTACGAAACTTCTGTGTGAAATTTGATCAAAAAAAAATCTCTGTAAAATCTCCAATTAGACCGTATAAGCAAACATTTCAGACCTATATCTACTGTTCAGGTCAAAGAGAAACAACTTAAATAACGAAGAAAAAATTCAGGTACAAGGCATAAAAATAAGCATCCCTTGTGATATGCCAAAAACCCTAATTTGCATGGCAAAACGAACAGGAACTGCAAGCCCTAACAAGCAACGAAGAAAACTGGACAAGTTGAAAGGGACTACAGAAACCCTAATCCTGATTCGATCAAAACAACAAGCGAAAGGTGATGGAAGGAGAGTGTCAGGACGCACTGGAACCGCAGGAATTTCGCGACTTTGGACGCCCCGGCAGGAGAACCTCTACGCTCTAAGAACGATGACGGTAAAAAATGAGAGCATTCGATGGATTTAATGCCCTTGGGTGTCGGAGACCGACGGTTCGGATAAAGTGAACCGATTCTCTATTCCAGGAACAAAAACGTTCCATCCCTACGGTTTGGCTGCTGCTGTGGTAATATTGTAGGGTTTGTAAATTGTGAAGCTGAAAACCATCTGTACGAGGGGAGGGTCTTAACCAACAGATTGGAATATATTGATTGAATGGCGCAATGGGACTTCAAATTGCCTACAGTTATACCCGTAATACGAGTCCGGATCTGCTCACAACACAAAAAGGAAAGCCGTTCCAATACGTTCCATCGTGATCTATGTCCGTACATCGAAGACACGATGATTCCCAGTCTCGAGACGGATTGAACTCCCAACGGAGCGCGCCCCACAACCCATCTCTTCGTTCATTGAGAACATCTCTCGTGCATGTCAGCCCGTCCGAACTCACGAGCCTTGTACCGGAGATTTGATTCATTTAAGTTGTAATGTTTTTGTTGTGAGCAAATTTAGGGCAAACTTGTGCCCACACCGTTAAGGGTGAAATCTTGCATTGGGAATATCTTCCCATGAAATATATATCTATATATACTTCAAAACCTTATACATGGTGTTTCTAGACCTTCTATATTTCATGGCGAGATGTTGTAAACTTGTAATATGGGGCCAATATGCCATGCCAATTTCATTCGTATGGCCCAATGCACTCTTCACAAGCTAAGCCTACACATACATACATTTGTTAGCAAGAGATATTGTCACGTGTCTAATTTGCTATGCACAATTACTCTACCCACAAGGCAAACAGAATACCTTTATGCAAAAGAGGCTTCAACTTTGGTTGAAGCACGCTGGTTGAACCACTTTTGAAAAGCTACCTATAATAGCTTTACTAAGTGCTTGATTTCTCAACTCATGTAAGTCTATTTTTGCCTTTTAAGTTTTTCCCCAAACATCACTTCATGGATTCTCATGTGTTGTCATTGGATCTATGTATAAGTCATTGAATCATGAAGGAAGCTAATTAGGTGGCTGATCGGCTTTCCAAGAAAGCTAATGATTCCTATCCACATGTTATATACAACTCTTACGAGGATCTACTCTCTGAGGTCTGGCATCTCCTTAGAGATGATTGTTCATGCATTCCTTTTTTGCGGATTTGATGATTATTTCGATATCGACCTTTTTCTCTTTTATTTTTCTATTGTAATTATATAGGTGGATCTTGGTGTAATTAGATTTTCATAAGGGGTAAGGCTTTTACACCCCCCTCCTAGGCTTTCTTTTCTTATAAATTTAATAGTGGCTACCCCTCCACCAAGAGTAAATTTTTGGGATAAAAAAAGAATGCCTCTACTCCTTTTTCATATTATTCACAATGATGTTTGGTTGTCTTTTTTTTTTCACATTTGGGTTATAAGGACTTTTTATTGATGATTGTACATGACATACATGAGTTTATATTTCTCCATAAGAAGTCTGATGTTTCCCCACATTTAAGAAATTTCATGCCATGGTTATTAATCAATTTAAAAAGTACAATAAGTATCTTGCAGTCTGATTTAGGAGGAGAGTAATTTGGTGGTGAGGATGGTGAATCAATTTAAAAAGAAATTTCTGAAATTGAATTATTTTTTAAATTTGCCCTTCATATCAATCACTTAAAAGGTGAATATACAACTTTGAAGTCTTTATTTTGTGTTGTTTATAAAGTTTGTATTGTTTTTCTATATAAACTAACCTCAATAGTAATTGAATGGGTACTTTGGACATTTTAACACCTTTTGTTAGAGGCTTCTACATACATACATACATATAAAAATAAAAAATTATATATATAATATTTTAGTTTTTAAATATATAATTGTTGGGGTCATGGCTGAGCTGGCCTAGAGAGACACGTGGCCGCTCAGTCATTGCTCGACCACGTCGGCTCAGCTCGGCCACATCAGCACAACCCAGTCGAGTTATGTTACTATTGTGGTCCCCCGCCTTATCCCTTTAGCCACGCCAACTACACGCCACGTGGATAAGCCCGACTACAGATAAGGGTGGGAAGACAACTCCGCCAAGGAGTAGGACTCTACCTCGGTAACCTCAGCGGAGTGTTCTACCCCGATTATCCCGGAACCCTAATCCGACTAGGAGACGGACCCCCGACTATAAAAAGGTATACTCCATGCTCAAGGTACAGGCCCAACTTCTAGCATCCATACTGTTATTTTCCTCGGACCAACATCCTCATTGCTCGACCCGACTACACACTACCCTCTCACTGACTTGAGTGTCGGAGTGTCTACCCAAGGACAACTCCTCGGGCCTCTGACTACTTCTCTTGATTGCAGGTTACATAGTGCTGCGCCGTCCTTGTAAGCTCAGCATCGCCCAGTCAATAAGGATTATCTGGTTGCTCTTCTCAGTCCATGCACTACCTCGGATAATAATAATAATAATAATAATAATAATTAATTTCTATAATTCTCAATTTATTATATGCCAAATAAAAAATATTTTTTATATGCATAATTCTTTATTTGTATAAAACGTTTGGCTCTCAGTTGAATTTGAACCAAGCTGAGCTCAAACTTATGAGCTTTTGAATCGAGTTAAATTCGAATTCAAGTCTTTACCTTGAATCGAGCTCAAGCTCAAACTTGAGCCTCGTAGATTATTGGCGAGCCAGGCTCGAATAGCTAAATATTCAGCTCGGTTTGACTTGACTCGAATCCACCCCTACTTGGAATTGTATTAGAAAGTATAAGGGAGGTGATTGCAATTATCAAACTTCAAATGAAATTAATAGGTCATCAATTACAAATTAAATCTGATTTAATTTCAAAAATCAAACAAAAAACCAAAATCAGATTAATCTCAAACAAAACAAAAGGCATAGTTGCCCTTTACTTGGTGCGGGTGGTTATTACCTTATATTACATATGCATCAAAGCAAAGCCCTTAGATTAGAGAACTTCTCATTCAGGTGCACAATTGCCTCTTGCTTAGGAAAGAGGTATCCAATACATGAGTTTGGATCTAGTGCGAACACAGGTGCACTAACCTGGCAACATGATAATGAGTGGACACTCCAATGGGTTTCACATATATTTGTGGGCTTCATGTGTATAAAACACTAGCATGTTCATTCTTGATTGGTTACATAGCCAAGTTTGCTTACTTGTGTTTGCAGCAGATCCTGTGTGCCAATATATGGCTACCTTAGCTTGAGTAAGGCTTGGCTGTTTGAAAAAAAAAATCCTATATGTATAGCAATAATGACCGACCTTTATAATTTAATTTCTTAAATTCAAATAAAAGATTCATCATAAAGATTTTCAATTCATTAAAGTTGGTTATTAGTTACAAACTAAACCTGATTTAATCTACTAAGTTAAGTTGGAAATAAAAAAACAAAACAATGGATGTGGTTGCGCCCTACTTTGTATAGGGTGGTTATTAGCTAGTGTTATAAAAATAAACAGAACATTGGATTTTTTTTTTTTGAAGAAAATTTCCCCCAACCAATCCTTTGCTTTTTTTCCCATAAGAATATGTCTAAAAGATGGGGTCAAAGCCCCAAAAATACTCCACCAGAGTTTGTTTGGTCCAAGAGGAGAAACCAGTAAGGTTGTTACCCACTTCACCATAACGTGTCTAGCTCTCCGTTTCTGGCTTTGTATTCTCCCTCAAAGTTCTCTCCTTCCTTCGTTTCTTTTTATCTCTCAAAAGAAAAAGCCCACTCCTGTGCATCCCAAACTGAGGATCTCCTTTTCTCTTTAGTCCCATATAGCTCTTTCTTTCCATTGTTCCTTTCTCTCTTCATCTCATCATTTCACGGGCTAATCACTTATTGGGGACAAAATGGTATGCCCCTCTCTCTCTCTCTGAATTGCTTTATTGTTTGTGAGACTAGATGCAAGAAGAAGATAGATTTAATAGCCCAAAGAAATCTGTGGACAATGTGCCTGTTGTATGATAGGGAGGAGCCTTGACCTTGAGAAGTCTTCTTAGAAATTTCCATATTTCCAATATTCTAATAGAATTAGAACTATTGCTCGTTAATTTTCATTCTTGAAGGCCCTTCATGGATGTCTTCTGGACTCCATCGCATGGAGAGAGTCCAGACTCTAGAGCTAGATATTACCGTCTTGGATGGGATGACAAGAAAAAGTTAATGGCATGCAGTGAGCGACTGCATCATCATCATCTTCATCTTCTTCTTATTTATAATCAATATTATTGTTTTCACTACTTTTGAATTTGTGATTGTTGTGCGAAGGCAAATTCGGCATCTGGAATGGCAGTGAACGATGACTGTAAGCTGAAGTTCTTGGAGCTGAAAGCAAAGAGGAACTACCGTTTCATTGTGTTCAAGATTGATGAGAAGATTCAGCAGGTGATGGTGGAGAGGCTTGGGAATCCTGAAGAGAGCTATGAGGATTTCACTGCTTGCTTGCCAGCCAACGAGTGTCGCTATGCTGTCTTTGATTTTGATTTCACTACTGATGAGAACTGCCAGAAAAGCAAGATTTTCTTCATTGCATGGTAATGCTACCCATGAAACCACCCACACAACATTAATGCAATACAAACATAGAAATTGTTACAGCCACATGATCACTAGGACTTAATTGTTACAGTTCACTTTTCTCTAATAACTATGTCAAGATGATTGGGATGGAGCCCAGATGTCCTGCCCTTGCACATCAAGGAACCACTAAGAGATCCTTCAACAACTTTGAAGAATGGTTTATGGGTTGGGGAGTTTGGAATGGGGATGCCAATGGGTTTTGTTGAACAGTAAACCCAGTTTGACCCCACACTGTAGGGTCGGGTTAGGGTTTTGACACCTCAACCCGAGTTGGGTTCGGGTTTCACTATCCCAATCCATTGGGTCATACATAGGGATATTCTTGTCATTTGGTATGACTTCTAACCCCATAACCTTAAAATTTTAGGGTTTGTTTTTTCATATTTGTTTTGATTTTCTTCTTAATTTCACTTTGGGGAAGTGACTCTTTGTAATCCATAAACCAAATTCCAACTTTTCTTTTTTTTTTTTTAATTTTTCTTCTTTGACTTGCTTTTAATTTTCTTTTCCAACTTAAATTAATGACTCTTGGGTTTTGAAAATGAAGTGTTAAAAATGCAACTGAAAGGTTGCAAGTCAGTATTGAATTGAACCCTATAGATTTGGAATGGGTTTGGAAACTACATGTTATCAAGCACTGTAGGGTTAGGTTAGGGTGAAGGCTAACACCCATAATTAGGAAGAGAGGAAGAAGAAGACTTAATTACCAATCTATGAATTTGTTATTCTTCAAATTTCCAAGTGGTTACTTCTGTTGTGCATAATAACTAGTGGTTGCTTCAGACCTTCCAAGAAGCAATTAATATTGTATAGGGAAGATTAGCTAGCTCAATATCTGAGAGGCTGTGTGATCCTACATTGCAAATTTAGTTCAATATTCAGCAGCTTTTGACACCAAGCAAATGGGTTTCAGCCCTGGCTTCCTTCATGAAGACCAAGCTGCAAATGGGTTTCACATATTACATATATTAGTATTAACTTCCTTCCTTGTAGGTCTCCTGACACGTCCAAGGTGAGGAGTAAGATGCTATATGCAAGCTCCAAGGACAGATTCAAGAGAGAGCTTGATGGAATTCAAGTGGAATTGCAGGCAACAGATCCGAGTGAGATGAGCATGGACATCATAAAAGGGCGAGCCATCTGAATATTATTATCGTCCTCTTCCTCAGCCTTCATAAGATTAGCTGTTTACCTTCTTTAATTTTGCGGGTGGGAGAGTTTTCCATTAATCGATGATGATGACCTTTGGGCGGGCTTAGACTCTAAACCGTTCAAGGATTTTTTTTTTTTTTTTATACTATGCATTTGTTTTTGTCATGTTGACTCTTCTTGATTAATATTGCAATTAGGGCTGGCGTTGTACGATAGATATGGTAATTATAAGACCATTTCGATTCATTTTATTTATTTTTCCTTCTCTTTATGTTTTATTTGAAGATGCCTACATGTATAACTTCCCATCAAAAAGACAAGATGGCGAGTGTTGCTACTTTCATTTTATCTTCAATGAATTAAGGCATAAGCCATGTCCAAAATATATAACTTGAATATGCTGTGGTTTAGTGCAATATATGTATTGGTTGTTTTTGGCAGGAGTGCAAGTCGATCAGGCTGGGTTGGGTTTAAGCTCAATTTAGGCCGAACCCTAAAAATTGGGCTATGGCTCAGGCATGGATCGAACCTGATCTATTCAACAAGAACCCATCCTGCACTGAAATTTGATGCACTCGGGTTGGTTTGGATTGGTGATGGGATTCTCTACAAGCAATACCATGAAAGTATAGGAATCCCACTACAGAACATCTCCCCATGAATTTAACATAACTATATAGGAGATATTCCTAATGTGCAGTTGGATGTTATGTAAGTTGAGTTTTTGCTTGCATGAGATACGGATTCCTTGGGTTGGTCTATCATCCCATACTAAAATTTAACAGGAATGTATGTATGTATACATATATGCATAAATGTCATACTTATATGCATGCAATAATGTGTTGATATATCATATATATGTAGGTATACATGTATATAGTTGGGTCAGATTTGGGCTACCTAAAGGCTCGGCTCAGGCCCATCCCAAAAATATAAAAAAAAACCCAAACTTTTGTGCCCAAGCCTAGCCCGAGGATTGAAAATCCAATCCCTGCCCATGTAGAATTCAGGCTAGGTGGGTCCAGGCTTAGTTTGAGCATGTCCAAGTTGCACCCCTAATTTTGGTTAATAAGAAAAAGATGTCAATAGATTGAAAAATGAATTAAGCAATGGAGCTTGTCTATTCTATATTATATAGAGGAAAGAGGGAGGTCAAGAGTCTTCTCATCTCAATGCACACATGGACCTCCCTCTCTTCTCATTTCTCACACATATGGTTATTTATTTCCAAGTTAAATTATTAAGTATAAGAAGTCACGGTAAAAGCACTTTTAGGTCTTAATTTTCTCTAATAAATCCATCATCGCTCTCTTTAATAAGATCATTGCTAACATACCAAAACTGATGTCAAAATCCAAATTTGCCAACCTAAACCTAAGCACATTTATATTCAACCCCATAAATTTACTTACTTTTATACTCAACATATTATTGAGGTTGCAAAGTTAAATCTGATAGCAAACGTCATTACCTAATTAACGTTGGCCCCTGCTATTTGTGGTCCTAGGAGGGATGGATTGGATTGATGAAATCTGAGTTTTACAATTGCCAAATCTAGATTTTACCTTCATCAGACTTAGAATTGTCAATTGGGTTGGGTAGCGGTTGCATTGACTCAACCCTGTAGAGTTAGGGTTGGGTAATCCGGTCATAGGTTGGATTTGGGTTGAGGCAAATCGATGTAAAACCTGACCCATTGATATAGTAGTGTTGAAACATTTGTAAATATAGCTCGAGACTCGAAGCCTGAGTTCTGAAGAATAGTTGTTTTATAATTTTACCCCTAAGGATGATTTTGAAACAGTAAAAATGAACAAATATTTAAGGGTTTGGAATCGGAATGGGAATTAGAATTGGCTGGAATGGATTCTCATTCTCAAGAAAGGGGGAGGGAATGTCTATTCTCTCAAATGGGAGAATGTCATTGTAGCAAAAATGGGAATTAGATTCTGATTCCACCCAATTATATAGTCGGAATCGAAATGAATCATTCCGATTTCAGACCACTATTCCTATAAACCAAACAGCCCCTAGTAAAATAAACAAATAATTAATAAATTGTCATGATTAAAAAAGTATAATTAATTAATTATTAAAAATTGATAAAAGCAATTATGATGATTAAACAATTAATAATTAACTCTGCCGGTGTGAACTTGTTTTGCACTACTGGTCCCAAGCCTGGATAAAAGAGGAGAGTTGCACCAGCTTGGCAGCCGTGATTAAAACTTTTGCCCAACCCTTATGGATATGGATGTAGATGATGATGATTAAACAATTAATAATTAAATAATTAATTTGATGCTACCAAATGACTCCTTAACAAGAGATTAGAGAGAATAGATTAAAAATTCCAATCCTAAAGCAAAAATAGGGTCTCTCCTTAGAAAACCCTAATTTTTAAGGAACCTTCAATTAATCCCACACCCCTTGGACATCAACTTTTTCTATATATATGATATATAAAGAGCTTAAATAGTGCAATTCGATGAGGCCCTAAAAGAGCAATTCAATCTACACATTTTAGTACAACAGGTCCAATTTTGATTACAAGGGAGTAGTCTGATTTTGATTGGAGGAATCAATTGACTTGTTGAATAGTTCATGCTAAAAGGATTTCTCAAACATCATATTCTGCATTGAACATGTAAACGAACCTTAGACATGTACGATCCAAGGAAAATTTTAAAATAGTTAGATACAACATGGAGTTCTTAGAAAAATAACAAGGCCAAACGTTCTTAGAAAAAACAATATCGTTTGGTTTGCAGGAATAAGGGTTTGGAATCAGAATTGGAATAGGCTATTCCGGTTCCAACTGTTTGGTTGGACAGAATCAGAATCTCATTCCCATTTTTGCTGCAATGACATTCCCCTATTTGAAGGAATGGTCATTCCCTCCCCCTCCCTTGGGAATAAAATCCCATTCCTGCTTATTCCAATTTCTATTTTCATTCCCATCTGAACCAGACTATGAGAATAGACCATTCCGATTTCTATTCTGAAGGATTTTAGGGTCTGTTTGGTTTGTAGTCAAAATCGGAATTGAAATCCTCTGGAGTCAGAATTGGAATGGTTCATTCCCATAGTCTGTTTGGTTTAAATAGGAATGTGAATGGGAATTAAAATCAGTAGGAATGGGATTTCATTCCCAAGGGAGGGGCAGGGAATGGCCATTCCATCAAATGGGTGAATGTCATTCCAGCAGAATTGGGAATGGGATTCTGATTCCGCCTAACCAAACAGTTGAAATCGGAATATCCCATTCCCATTCTGATTCCAGAACCCTATTCCCATGAACTAAACGTGGCCTTAATTCCAATTCCGATTCCAACAGCAAACCAAACAGACCCTAAAATCAATTTATTTTCATTGCTAATTTTTGGCTTTCACCATCTACCCCTATCGATTTATTATTCCTCATTTAGCTTTCTTGTAGAAACTAGGTTAATGTGAAGATCAAGTTTCACATCTTTGAGTAGTACCGGAACCAATCACCCAATCTGTTTCTTAACATATGACATAAATGCAAGGTTCATAACTCAAAAACAGAACAATTTCACCGTCAAATGCAATTGCAGCTATGTTACTACCGGAACCAATCATCATTTCTTTTTTTCGTCACACATAAGTTTCTTGCACTCCTTACTGAAGTGTCTCAGCGCTTTTGCAGCTATTTTCTTTTGTTCCGAACAGATTTAAGACCCAAACCGATTATTGAGTTAAATAATACATAAAAGCAATGTTTTCAAAAACCAGACCGGACCGGTCGATCGGACTGGAAAAACTGGAACCAGTCACCTGACAGGTTCCATTTCAGCTCAGAACCGCTTTTTGGCCAAAAACCATTGATTTGGTCAGCAAACCACTGACCTGGGCAGTCGAACTGTTGATCTGTCGACCCGGACAATAGTTTTTTGGCCATTTTTTACTTTTTTGTTACTTTTATTTTTTGTCAGAACGGGGCCGTCTGTTCAGTTCGAACGGTCAGACCATTCGACCCAGGAACCAGATCCCATAACAGTTCCCTGTCCAATTCGGTTTTAAAAACCTTGCATAAAAGTTTCCTAGTTTTTTTGTAATTTTATTATATTCTATTTCTAAAAGGGTAAATTTATAGATAATATATAAGATAATTTTGGTTAAAACACTATTTATTAACATATAAACAAATTACTATTTTACTGTCATTTTTATTAAGGTTATATTAACAAAAATAAAGTTTTTAAGTTGTTATTTATATAGATAATTATAGATGTCAGTATAGACCCGATTATACTGATTAATAATCAGGGCATTTCTGGGTCTATGATTTTTTTTTGACAAGTAATAAATTTCACTGATAGAACCATAATACAACAGACTGACACAAATGCTAACAGGTTACAAATTACATCCCGGTCCTGGACAACCCCACTCAAGCCGATCCTTAGACATTTCCAATCTAGCCAACATGTCGGCCAAGGAGTCAAGTACTGCAAATCCAAATGAATGAGATATTCAGGGGATCCCTAAGTGCCAGTGCCTGTCTTACCAGTGGTCTCATCCTCCAAGAAATTTCTTCTCTATTCTTTAGCCAAGAAATAACTGTTTGGCAATCTCCTTCAATGTCCACTTCTTTCCACCCTTTTAGCTTTATCGATTAACACCCCCAACTCCCAACTCTCCTGGATTTCCCAGACAGCACCCATCAAAGTTCAGTTTCAACCTCCCAGCTGATGGAGGAACCCATTAGGCCAGTCTTGGTGGTCTCAAAATATAAGAACTGGCAACCACCGGCCAATTTCTTAGCAAATCATTCACCGAAACACCTCTGGATTCATCACAAACTGAAACCCAACGAGCCACCCCAAGCATTAGAAGCTCACAAACCTCCTTGGTGACATATATTTTTCTTAAAAAATTCTGGCATTCCTTTCACTCCACAAACCCTATAGAACAGCTCCCCATACACATTGTCTAAAAATCTTTTGCCTCCTAGGATTTTGACCCGATTAATAATTGGTTTGGGACCAGGATTGGTACACCCTCTCCAGAACCAGACCCAACCTATTGACAGTCCTAATTCACTACCTCAATCTAAAACTTAGGGAGGAAGAAATCATAATTTAGAATTTTAGATAGATTAAGAACATATAATAAGTAGAATTTGGAAAGAATTGCTTAAATTTATGTAATATTTGATGACAGAGGAATAAAATTCATCTTCAACAACATAAAGCAAATGCCTACTTGAATCATTGAAAGTGCCACAACAGAATTGATTGTGTACAAGCAACCCACCCTAACCATAGTTTTTTTTTGACACAATCGTTAAAACATTTTTGTTCAATGGAGGGAAGCATTGTATACTTAGAAATCAACTTTATTTGGCTTTGCAGCTCTCCAGTCAACTTCATTTGGCTTCTGAACATTTTTGTTCAACGAGTGAGCTCAAAAACCAAAAGAAGTTCAGAAGGCCACTCCATATTTGGCTTTTTAGCTTCCAGATGACCTGCCGAAGGAGGCCCTTTTGAACTTCTGTATCTTCAGGAAATTATATCGAGTGTCCCAGGGCATGGACTCAAATCAATTGTAATACAAATACTTGAGCTTCCTCGGTACATACCAAGTGTTCAAAGCTCATCACGGCTCTGAGGTTGTTCCCTGTTCATTAAATCTAACTTATATTGCAGCTCCTGTCACATTCATAATTTGTTTTCTTGTTAGGAATTTACTTTGTGAGGAATAATAAGAAAATCTCCTAAGGTCCAATAGCAAATATAAAATACTAATAGTACCTTTAGCTTTTCTTCCAAGCATACAGCAGGGGTGGACAAAATTGCCATATATCTGCCATGAACAAAAAAAAAAAAGTAAGAATAGGGCTGAGTCATTTCACACACACACATTTCTTTTTATTTGGGAGGGGGTGAGTGTATTCTTACTCGCAACGACTGGGTTCATCTACATCAGCTAGCTCATTATTCAATCCACACCTAAGCTTGACCTGTAAAAAACATCCGCGACAAGAATTGCATCAAAGGGCATCATATGAGTTAAATCTTTACATCTCCAAAACTGGCAATCCATTTTATTATCCAGGCAACTTAATTGATTGAAAATTGTTCAAATTGTCCACAGTTCTAATACCACACCAGTCTTCAAAACAGTGTGCTCTGCCAGATATAGTGGAAAAGAAAAGAAAAGGAAATGATCCACATTGTCAATCCACCATGTCACTTGGTTTACCTGACTGGTGTGATTTGCATTATGACAACCCAATAAGGTCCAGCAATTATATGGCCATGAGCTCCCAAGGAGAATTATAAAAAAGGCCATTACCCAATATTGGTCCCAGCTATCTGGGCACTTGGAAGCTTTGAAGTTTTTTCTATATCATAGGATTACCTTTAAGCTTCTGTCAGGTCCGTTCCAGCATCTATCACCATTTGAAAATACCATGACTCTGTATGAATCCTCAAATTTTTCCCAACGCCTAATTACAGAATATAGAGAAAATATTAGTTACACTATCCAACCAATAAAGAACTAGCGTTCATATGAATTAAATGAAGCAGCGACATGTCCTAAAATTCAAGATTTGTTATTTAAGTGCAAACTATGACAACGTTTGTTTATCATGTGGTAAAATAACAACCTTTTCCAGCCTAATATGATAATTGACAACCTAATTAAGTTATTTGCAGATTTGAATTCCATTAATCTCTACAGCCTCCATTCATTTCCTTATTTAATTTTCTCATGGAAAGAATAAGATCCTCATTTACCATCTCAACATATCTGATTGATGCATGATGTTAATATCTAAGGCATCTTGACATATTACATAGTTGTCAAACTGATGCCTAGGCAGGCATCTAGGAGGCTAAATGCATGAATGTGCTTGTCTCACCCAAAAGCCAAGCTATTTCTATACAAGGCTTTATAATATATTTATTTTCTGAGTTCATAAATATTAAGGTGGTGATACACCATATCATTCCTTTTATTAGTTCATAAGCCAGTCTGCTTTTTTTAGTTTCTTATTTTGTTATGGTTTGACTGATTTATTGTTATGGGCCCGGGAATAGGATCTCGTCACGGATCGGTCCACGGGGAAAACCTCCTGTTTTCCCTTGTTCCTCCCTGCTCTTGATGAACCTATCTTGGCGCTCTAATGGTGATTTGTCGAAGAGATCACCTAACTCTCCTTTCTCTCTTTCTTGACTGAAATTTTCGATGGTTTTATTCAATGTTCTCAGCTCCTTAAATAGGAGATTACAAGAGATAAAAGTCCTACTTTTAGGAAGACTCCTTGCTAATTAGGAAGACTACCTACTAATCTATCCTACTGAACTGATAAGATAAGATAAGATAAGACTCCCTTAATCTATCCTACTGAACTGATAACATAAGATAAGACCCCTACTAATCCATACTACTGAACTGATAAGATAAGAACACTGAATAGATAAGACTCCTACTAACCCCTGCTACTGAAAGCAGAAAAGGTAAGAATACTGAATAGATAAGATAGGATGAGAACACTAAATTGCTGCTGCTGAGAACACTAAATTACTGCTGCTGCTTCCGGTGCCCACATCATTACTCCCTTCCTGAACTATGAGCTTGTCCTCAAGCTCGAATTCAGGATGGGTGTCTTGAAACACAGTCAAAGGAATCCCAGATAGGTGGAATGATTTTGCCCTCCTGGATCGGGTTCCAATGAAGAGGGTTCATCCTCAGACAGCTGTAGTGAGATACCAAGATTTGACCATGCGTAGCTGCATTCTTTGCTGCGGCCAACTGCAGCCTTAAGGTACTTCTGAGATGTCTTGAACTGTAGAGTACAAAGATTGTGAAGGCCAAGCTGGTGCCACTGAACCGCATCATCTGGATCCTCTTCTATTGCCTGCTTTAGTGTGTACAAAGCTTGCTCTTCCACTTCCATCAAATCATTATGTCCAGTTCCAAACGTTGCTGCAATTTCATGCTGAGCCTTGTGAACCATGACAAGTCCTGCCCATGCTATCCGAAGCTCAATTGTTGCARAGTCCCCTTCTCTGAGTATTGAAGCCATTTCATTCGCAGCCCATGAAAGTTGTTCAGTGGGATCTTGAGACCTTTCTGCATCCTTGATACGATGAAGCCCAACAACATATCGAGTTGACATGCAATTAGGCTCCAGTTTTGCTGCCTTCTCCAGGCACTTTCCAGCACTTCTATGATCACCAGCCAAATAGTATGCATTAGCAAGATTCACCCAGATATGTGCAGCCCTAGGATCTGATCTGACAACAGCTAACAAACACTCTTTTGCAACATTTGCAGCCGCAACATGAGGCATACAAGCTCCTTCACCAGCACTTGCCCAAGCACCTGCAACAACTTGAAGATATGCAATCCCAAGATTCTGCAACACCTCGACGACACCGGATTCTTGCTTAATCGGGACATTCTGGGTGTTGCTAACCTGCGCTAGGGCAACGACTTGCTGCTCGCCCGACGATTCTGCCACATCAGGTCGGCGGCCGGTTGTGGTTGCAGCCCCTTCCGGGTTCCTTTCCTTGCTGGAAAAGTACAACTCCATCAAGCGCCTTAATTCTCGGACGACATCCTTGATCTCACGCACCTCCGTGCTGTTTTCCACGATCTTGAGCTCCAGATCTTGAACCCTATTCTTCAATTGCTCAAGGTCACCCATGACGCCTTGCTCTGATACAAAATTGTTATGGGCCCGGGAGTAGGATCTCGTCACGGGTCGGTCCACGGGGAAAACCTCATGTTTTCCCTTGTTCCTCCCTGCTCTTGATGAATCTATCTTGGCGCTCTAATGGTGATTTGTCCAAGAGATCACCTAACTCTCCTTGCTCTCTTTCTTGACTGAAATTTTCGATGGTTTTATTCAATATTCTCAGCTCCTTAAATAGGAGATTACAAGAGATAAGAGTCTTACTTTTAAGAAGACTCCCTACTAATCTATCCTACTGAACTGATAAGATAAGATAAGATAAGACTCCCTTAATCTATCYTAYTGAAYTGATAASATAAGAYAAGACYYCYTACTAATCCATACTACTGAACTGATAAGATAAGAACATTGAATAGATAAGACTCCTACTAATCCCTGCTATTGAAAGCAGATAAGGTAAGAATACTGAATAGATAAGATAGGATGAGAACACTAAATTGCTGCTGCTACTGCTGCCGGCGCCCACATCATTTATAAGTTTGAAGACCTTGAAGACTTGGAGAAATTGGAGATGAAGACCAACTGACCACTGGTATGCTCTTCTTGTTGTCACTTTTTTCCTTCTTTTTCCAGGACAGAAATAGAGGCTCAATGCCTTTTACTTCTTTTTCTATTTTTTTCCTCTTTTTCTGAGGTAGGTGTTTTCTTCTAGAAAAGAGAGAGGAGGAAGAGAAAAAGAGAAGAGAGAAGAGAGAAGAGATATGTTTGAGATCCAAAAACCTGGGCTGGTGGCGCCCAGATTTCTATTTATAATAACATGAAAAAATAAAAGAGGAAAAGTACATATTTATCCCTAGCGGCACAACCTATAAAAAAACATTAAATAAAAGACTAGAGCATGCTGACAGCACCCTAAAATAACAACATAAACTACTATAACAGCAGAAATAACTCTAATAACAATTCTAACAACACTCCTGCTCAAGTTGGGCCGAATATGTCTATCATGCCCAACTTGTCACATAGGTCATTGTTCCACAAGTATGGAAGTCCTTTTGTGAGAACATCAGCCAATTGCTCGCTGGAGTTGACATAGGAGTAGAAACTTCACCCTTTTCCAATCTTTTCTCTTATGAAGTGCTTGTCCACTTCAATGTGCTTTGTCCTATCATGTAGGACAGGATTGCTAGCGATGTTTATGGCTGCCTTATTGTCACAGTAGAGGGACATAGGGCTGTGAACAGTAACCCCAAGCTCCCCTAGAAGATTCTTCAACCACAGTACTTCAACTACCCCATGTGCCATAGCTTTGTACTCCGCTTCAGCACTTGACTTTGCAACTACACTTTGTTTTTTACTTCTCCATGTCACTAGATTTCCTCCCACAAACGTGCAATACCCACTTGTTGATTTTCCATCATCCACAACACCTGTATAGACTTCCACTTTCAGATGGTTATGTTTATGAAACAACAAACCAGTCCCTGGATACTTCTTCAAATACCTAAGTATTCTCTCAGCTGCTTCCATGTGTGGTCTCTTAGGGGAATGCATGAATTGGCTTAGGACCCCAACTGAATAAACAATGTCTAGACGTGTCATAAACAAATAGAGCAACCTTCCCACTAATCTTTGAAACTGTTTTACATCAATAGTCGATCAAGACTACAGTCTGTCTTGGATTTAAAAGGAAACAAACACTAATTTGAAGAGGAGAAGAAGAATTCAGAAAAAGAGAGAGAGGGTCTTGACTTCTGCCGACCCCCTCTTATGATTTATATAAATGTTTGACCAACTGTAAAAGGGCTGAATTGCCCTTATTGCTTACATGGCAAAAAGAATAAAAGAAAACTAATAATAAAAACTGAAATAACTACCAACTAATACACTGCCATAACTAACTGAAATATTACTGCCATACGAACACAGTGGGGACCACATTAGTGTTCTCTACACTCCCCCTCAAGTTGGGAATAGATATTTGTCATTCCCAACTTGCATAGGTCTGCCTCTAATTTCTTCCTCGGAATAGCTTTGGTGAGAAGATCTGTGAGCTGCATGCTGGAGGTGATATACGGAAGACACACTTCTTGAGATGAAAGCCTTTCTCTAACAAAATGTCGATCTACTTCAATATGCTTAGTTCTGTCATGCTGTACCGGATTATGGGCTATATTAATAGCAGTCTGATTATCACAGTAAAGCATTAAGGGCTTCTCATAAGCAACACCCAACTCCTCAAATAGTGATTCAACCATAGGATTTCAGCCACACCATTTGCCATGGACCTATATTCAGCTTCAGCACTGGAACGAGAAACAACACTTTGTTTCATACTCCTCCAAGAGACAAGATTACCTCCTACAAAAGCACAATATCCAGAGGTAGACCTTCTAGGAAAGTGCATATACTGACTGACAACACTGACTGCATAACTGATGTCCGGTCGTGTGAGACAAAGATAAAGGACTTTTCTAACTAACCATTGGAACATAGCTTTATCTTCAAGAGGCTCTCCACCCTTTGCACTGATCTTGTGATTCTGTTCAATAGGTGTTTTTGCAGGCTTAACGCCCAACTTTCTAGTTTCTTCCAACAAGTCAAGAACATACTTTCTTTGAGAAACAAAAATCCCATCTTTAGACCTAGCTACCTCAATGCCCAAGTACCGTAGCTCTTCCAGATATTTTACCTCAAACTCTTGATGAAGGAGTTGTTCAAGAGACTCAATCTCATTGCTATCATTCCCTGTCACTACAATATCATCCACATATACAACAAGCAAGGTCAAGGAAGAATCCACT